TAGGGAAATGGCGCTCAGGTAATCATGGATCTCTTCCTTTTGGATAAAAAGTCTATTCACATAGAAGCTATTTCTTTTTCAATATAATGTATTTTTCTACCCTACAGATATTGGTGTGGTTTTATTTCGTGGCCTCTGCTTCATATTTTTAACGCTTACCATTTTCTTTCAGCAAAAAGAATACGTTTCTAAACATATCATCCGGGACTAGCTTCGTTGGTGCGCGGCTCGATCGCATAGGACCCTGTGCTGAGAAAGGCCTGTTTGGTTTATCGCCCTGATGTCACTGCCTTGAAATGCTTAGTCATCTTGTCTCTGAAGTTGTACTTTGTCAGTGGTCTAATGGGACAGTGGAGCATGCGCAGTAGCAGAGGAAATATGCTGGGTGGGGGCGGATGCACATATCTACGGTTCAGCAGCCCCAGCCCATGTGCGAACAGACACCGAGCAGTATCCACGCCTAAGAGTCAGTACTGGCTACACCCCCCTGCCTCGTGGGAATCAGGAGTGCTGAGGCCCTGAGAGGGCAGACACATCAGAACCCTGGCCCACACTGGTGGATGATATGGTTACAGCAGCTGCAGAAGCTTCAGTGGCTGACTACAAGGGCCTCGCGAGGCTGAGGAACTCAGAAAGCAGTCAGTGCCAGGATCTAATGTGAGGGGTCCACTTGCCCAGAGTCCATGTAATTTGTGTGACATTTGCACAAATAGTAACTCTTCAACCTGAGCACCTTGACAGGAACTCCCAGTGTTCAGGCAATAACTTTGTCAGTAAAGACTTATAAAATAATATCCTGTACATGAGCACTGCAGTAAAGCACATCAGAGTTGTTAACATTCTTCAAAGAGTTTAGCATGCATTGTTTTTGAAAATTTGTCCAGCATTGCAAAGCTAATACCCAGAGGCTTAGAAACAGAAATTAAATTTAAAGGCTTTTCCACTCAGTGGAAAAGAACACTATTTTTATACGAAGCTCCTGCTGAACCAATTATTAATGAGTGTTTCCTTGTAATTGAAGATAAGGCAATAGAATGTGTAAACAGGCATTTTGGAATATACACAAGTCATTAAGGCACTTTCAGTTTCTTGTACAGCCTTGAGAAGTTACAGACTATGTCAGATAACATTAAAGTTCCATTGTTTAAATTTACATTTGAAATTTAATTCAGACTTATGCAAAATGATTTGTATGAAGTTAAATCTTCTAGGAAAAATTGACCCATGAGAATCATCAGCTCAGATGTTCTAAAATTTATATTTGAAAATAGTTTATCAGGAATCTATTCCAATGTTATCATGCCCTATAAAAGACTCTTTACAGTTCTGTAACAGTTATATCAGTAGAAAGATGCTTTGCAAAATCAAATATCGAAAAATATTTGTGATTTTGCATGTTGAAGTTGCTTGAAACAAATTCTAATAATCTAATGAACAAATTTCTGGAAAGGTTAGAGAAAGCTTAGATCAAGCAAGATATAACTTTAATAAAGCATTATTTAATGTATTATATCAAACTGACACCAAACATATGATTTTTTTGCAATTTGTTAAGTTTATGCTGCTACTCATGTAACACTATTACTCTAGTACATTTTATGTTATACAGCATTTGTAAAGAAAGTTGCTTTATATTCAGTACATTTTTTTAAACTTTTTTTGTTTATTTTTGAGAGAGAGAGAGAGAGTGGGGAGGAGGAGAGAGAGGAAACAAGAGAATCTCAAGCAGGCTGCGTGCTATCAGCACAGACCCCATCATGGGGCTCAGTCTCACAAACCATGAAGTCATGACCTGAGCCAAACTTGGATGCTTAACCAAATGAACCACCCAAGGCACCCTACATTTTCATTTCACACTGTGACCCACAAATTATGTAGCTGATCGTAAAGACATCGTAGGCTTATGTCTTCACGATGACTATTACCCCGCTTCCTATTTCCCAGTTTTACTCCTCTATTACTCTCTAATACTAGAATTTCCACCAAAATGACTGCCCTGCATCTACTATGTTTCTTCTTCACATAGATTTTTTGTAGATGCTCTTGCCTCTTGCTACTCTAGGCATCTTTCTCCCTACCTGCTGTCTTTACCTAGCTAACTCCTATTTGCCTTTTACCCTCAGCTAAAACAACTCTTTCTCAATTATCTGACCTCTCAGGATTCCCCATTTTAATGTATGTAATTGTGTATCCATTAATATGATTTGATTAATGTCAACTTCCTACTTTACACTTAAATCTCTGTGAAAGCAGGCACTGTATGATTTTTATTTGTTGCTGTTTTTTTTCCTCCATCTTCCATTGTATTTCCAGTACCTAGCAGATGGCTAGAATTCGGTAGATGTTTAGTAAATACTAGTGAATAAATGAAATAACTAGTGATGACATCTAAATATTATAAATTATAATACAAATATTTCTTATTCATGAAGATTTAGTCATTATTAGTGTCCTACTGATGAGATATGTATATGGAGAATGATTTGTCTCACTTTGCTACTTTGTGGTGCCATAAATGGAAGGAGTTGCTGTCATTTTTAATGTTGGAAAATTACTTTAATTGCATGATCTAAAACTTTAAATCAAAGCAATTTTGCTCTACCAACGCATCCAATTAGCCAACTCATCCTCCCATAAATGTAAATAAGACATTAGTGATACATTCTTTTTCCAAGAAATTACATCAGGAAAATATTTTCTAGTTCTGAAAAGTGTTCTTGAAACTCTGGTTATCATTTATTCTTACTTCAGGGGAAAGCAGTGAAGAAGCCTTGGAATTAGGAATAAGTTTAGTCCACAGAATCGTTCTTCACACTTTTCTTCAAAAATAATTAGAATGAAAAGTATATGCACCTACTATAATAAAGGAGAGAACATTTTTAAATTATGTAAACATAAAGATATACCTAAGGTAGATTGAGTTAGAAATTCTATGTTACATTCAGAAGTACAGTATGTGTTTTTATCATGGCTCTTTTATCAATATATACCTTAAAACCCAGGGTTATTAGTTTATACTTTCCATTCTTGAATCTTTATCAAGGTAATAATTGCAATTTTTAAATATTAGAATAAGACTTAAGCATCCTATTGATAAAACACAGAGGCACATGAATCCGTCTGAACACATAAATTCAGTCTCTGTACCAATTTGGATTCTGGAGTAGCATGAAGAAACCAGAAGGAAAGTAAAACATTCAGTCCACTTCCTACAGGGTTAAACTTTATCTTACAGACGATCTTTAGATAAAGAGGTCTTCCAGGCTCTCATTTCAGTTTTGAGACTTCCTTATGTACAGCATTTTTTTCAGTAGAATTTTCCCCAATCCCTAATTCTTAAATGTAAATTCCTTAAAAAATATATTTTATTTTGGTAAGATAGTGCATATCTGAATCCAAATGCGTGTCTAGGTCTTCTTTATGGTTACTGAATTTTCTTTTCAGTCAATCCTTAGCCCTTTAAAATCAAAACTATTTTGTTACAAAAAAATGTAGTCAGATATGATCTATTACTATGAGTCTCTTTTAATCTGGAAAATCAGAACTCTCAAGTCCATCTAGAATATTTTTGGAAATGAGCTTTGAAATGATCAGTGGAATGCTAGAGCTTGTAGAACAATGATTGACATTGTGACTGATGCTTCTAGTGGGAAGTTGGTGGGGGTTTTTTCATGTTTATTTAATTTTGAGTGAGAGAGTATGTGAGGGGGAGGGGCAGATGGAAAGATAGACCAAGGATCCAAAGAGAGCTCTGCATTAACAACAGAGTCTGACATGGGGCTTGAACTCACAAACCATGGGATCATGAACTGAGCCCAAGTCAGATGCTTGACTGACTAAGCCACCCTGGTGCCCATGGAGAGGATTTTTATGACAGATGTATAATTCTGACATTGGCGAAATAGAAAATTATGATCACAACTATGTCGGATAGAAGACAAATATTATATTCACACCAGTAAATATAAGCTATGATTATATTTAACAAGTACTATTTAATAAGTGGTAGAATCTATGATTATAAATCTCTATATATACTATTTACTTATCATCTTAATGATATCCCTTTTTCTCCTAGTATATGAAATTAACAAAGACTAAGGATGCAACCAGTGTGTGAAATTTTTTTTTAATGTTTATTTATTTCTAGGAGAGAGAGAGAGACAGCGTGAGCAGGGGAGGGTCGGAGAGAGAGGGAGTCACAGACTGAAACAGGCTCCAGGCTCTGAGCTGGCAGTCAGCACAGAGCCCGACGCTGGGCTCGAACCCACGAACCGCGAGATCATGACCTAAGCGAAAGTCGGACGCTTAACCGACTAAGCCACCCAGGCGCCCCCCAGTGTGTGAATTTTAATGTTGCATCTAGAATTTTATTTATTTTTTTTTAAATGTTTATTTATTTATTTTTTAAACAATTTTATTTATTTATTTTTTTAATGTTTTATTTATTCTAGGAGAGAAAGAGAGAGACAGCGTGAGCAGGGGAGGGTCAGAGAGAGAGGGAGTCACAGACTGAAACAGGCTCCAGGCTCTGAGCTGGCAGTCAGCACAGAGCCCGACGCGGGGCTCGAACCCACGACCCGTGAGATCATGACCTAGGCGAAAGTCGGACGCTTAACTGACTAAGCCACCCAGGCGCCCCAGCATCTAGAATTTTAGAATGAAAAGAAATAAAAACCCAAAAACCTGTGTGGTTCGTTTTTCATATACGGAAATGCAATGTTGTCTTTTGAAGTCCAGACTTTTCTATAAACTATTTATTTTTATATAAAAGATGAGTAAACCTATGTCCTTACTTTTATGACAGGTAATAAGCTACACTGATTAATGCAGAAATATTTGAATACAAGGGGAATACAATTGTTCATATTGAATACGGTAGAACTCTAAGTTGTATTTATACAATTTCAAACAATTGCGTCGCCATTCAAAATAGTATTTTATTGCCCTATGCTCACATCTTATAAGCTTTTTATAATAGTAATATCTTTTCTCAACAGAGAGGACTATTATTACCATCCCACCTTCCAAAATGGATGTGACAGTTGGAGAGAGTATCGTCCTACCATGCCAGGTGTCCCACGACCCCTCCATTGAAGTTATGTTTATATGGTCTTTCAATGGAGAAGTCATAGACTTAAAAAAAGGAGTGGCTCATTTTGAAAGGATTGGAGGAGTAAGTTGCCAAAAATTTTAAGTACTTAATAAAATAAATCAAGTCTTTCACACGAATAGACATCTTTCATAATTATTCTCCCCATATTTATTTGCATGGATAACCACTGTCTATTTTTGAAGCCGCCTCTGTTTTTTGTTTTATTTTGTTTGATGTCTTTATGGAAACGCTCATGTTCTAGATGCACTTATAATAAAGTGGGTAGGAAAAGGGATCATCTAGGAGCAACAGCAATGATACTAGTATATCTCCTAATTTCAAAGCTGTCTCATATTTAATATTTATCCAGTCTTAAAAAATGGGACCTGCTGAATATGATTATGTTTTATCCCTTTTTCCCTTTCTATCTGCAGGAATCTGTTGGGGATTTGATGATAAGGAACATTCAGTTAAATCATTCAGGAAAATATCTATGCACAGTGAAAACAACTCTGGAAAGTTTATCTGCGGTAGCTGATATCATTGTTAGAGGTAATCAGAATGGTGGAAATAAATGAGTACTTTATTCACAGCAAAAAAATGTTAATAACTAAATGGGGAGTCTTTGAGTAACCATATCATGATAAAGAAGTGAGATTTTTTCATTTTCTAAACTTCAAGACTCCAGGGCACATGTAGTGTGTATATGGATATTGAATGGAGTAGGTTTTGTGTATTTATAATGAATAGTTAGACTCAGCAAGCAGTATCAGTCCCTAAAACTTAGGCATGCCTTCTATTTATAATAAACCATTCTTATCAGAGGAGGGTCAAAGTCATCTATTCTTATAGTTCTCTATATAAGTTGCATTTACTTGAGATACCTTTTGAAAAAGGAATTGTTCTCAACCTTTGAGAGTAGCTCCCTAATGGGTGATATTCAACCATCTCATGATTGAAATTTTCTCATCTTTGGAGGAAGCATTTCTAAGTTAGTCTTTCACCATGTAAAGTGAATTGATAGGGCTTTATTGCAAATAATTTGTTCAAAATACATCATGTTGAATATTTTATTTTCTAAGCATAACAGATAAAAATAAACTGCTTCTGTCCCAGATCAATGAATTTAATAATTTTCAACATAGTTATCATCAAACGTATTTTTCAAGGTCCACCAGGTCCCCCTGAGGATGTAAGAGTGGAACACATTTCCAGTACTACTTCTCAACTAAGCTGGAGACCAGGCTCGGATAATAATAGTCCCATTCAGATATTTACTGTTCAGGCTCGGACTCCATTTTCTGTGGGTTGGCAGGCTGTTTCAACTGGTAAGTGACACCATTGTTTGGGGGACATTTTCTAAAACAGATGTATTTGTTTGTTCAACTGATTGATGTTAAGTAGTGCTGGTTATGATGCCTGAATTCACCCCTCTTTTCAGTTCCAGAAATTCTCAATGGTAAGACATACAATGCAACAGTGGTTGGTTTGAGTCCTTGGGTGGAGTATGAATTCCGTGTCGTTGCTGGGAACAGCATTGGGATTGGAGAACCAAGTAAAGCATCAGAATTGCTAAGAACCAAAGCATCAGGTAAGAAATTAATGTCTTACAGCACGTGCAAGATCCTCTATGGTATAGATCTTAAAAAGAAAAAAGTAAGAAGCATTTTTGTGGGTCTTGTAGGATTTGAGGCCCCAAATCAGAGGGACAAAACCAGCAGCTTTCATTTTCACATTTTTTATATACACAAAGCAAGGAGTATTTTCTCTGAAATATAAGTTCAATAAGAAACGATTTTAGCCAAGCAGGCATGTCAAAAATAAGAGTTTTTTCTGAAGCTGTACTCTTATCTCCTCTATTTTCTAGCCAAACTCCAGCAGAGAATCCGTACATTTGTAGATGCAAATGAGTTAGTGCTTGTTTTATTAAATGTTGTAGCCAAGAATTAATTGAGACTCTGTTGGTGCAATCAGCCACACATTTCCATCTATTTCTCAACTCTGACCTAGTTGCAGCTTCATTGAGCAATAGTATAAACTATTTCCCATGCAAATGAGGTAAATCGTAAGCTCATTTAACAGAAGCACTAATTGAGCATCAGCTGGTTCACCGAACAGCAAAATACAAGTGGAACCTGACTCAGAAATCACCCCTTCTTAAGCTTTTTTCAACGGATCCTTTTTGTTCCACTCCTAAACTTTAGGTCCAGGGTAATATTTGATCTGCTTGCTGCATACAGCTGACAAAGCTCACATTCTTAGTCATATAAGTGAGGAATCACTCTGTTGTCACTGGCTTAGCTTAACCAGCACAAACTACTTCAGTTAAGTGTGCTCAACTGTCAAATGTCAGTAAGACTTTTCTCAAATTAAAGATAATATAAGTATTTTTATTTTAGAATTGGGACTGAAAAACAACGTATTTGATAATAATATCTTAAGTTCAATCATCCTAGAAGTTTAGAGGTGAGAGGAGAGTCATTCATTTTACAGAGGAGGAAAAGGAAGATCAGGATCTTGGCTGACTGTTTTAGACAGAGTCAGAATTTGAACTCAGACTTGGGTACCAGCATTCTCCATGGGTCTTAATATAGATGAGCAAGAGATTGGCATAAGGAAATGTGTAAATATAGAAATTCCCAGACATTACCATACGCTGACTGGATAAGAATCTCCAAGGATGGCCTATGACTTGATATTAGCTTGAGTTTTAGGTCATTTGTTTATAGCTTATTTATATCACGGTAGCTCTGGGCAGGCTTGACTCTAATGCTAAAAGGTTTATAGTGAAGCTTGTCTAGCACTTTCTATTAACCACTGACACTCTTCTTTCAGTAGCACAATGAGACCTGGTGTTTATAATAATTACCCCGAGGTTCTCAGTCATTCTGAAGTGTGTTCTTTCTTCCTTTCTTTCTTTCTTTCTTCCTTTCTTCCTTTCTTCCTTTTCTTTCTTTTCTTTCTTTCTTCTCTTTCCTTCCTTCCTTCCTTCCTTCCTTCCTTCCTTCCTTCCTTCCTTCCTTCCTTCCCTCCCTCCTTCCCTCCCTCCTTCCCTCCCTCCTTCCCTTCCTCTCTTTCTTTCTTTCTTTCTTTCTTTCTTTCTTTCTTTCTTTCTTTCTTTCTTTCTTTCTTTCCTTAATACCCTTCTTCCCAATATGGCTTTAGGTTTAATATGGTTCATTTGAAAATACAATAAAAGAAGTTTTATTAGCCAGAATATTGGAAACTTGGTAAAAAGCAAATTAAAGTATACTTTAAAATAATTTCCTTATGTATGTACACTATTTAATGGTCTTGAAAAAGTGTCACCACAAGTCATCAAGTACTGGAAACCCTACAACTACAAAACCCACCCTGATTTACTTTGGTTTTGGCCAAAGGCCATGGAAGACTTAGAAAATAGGGTCTAGGTACAAGGCAATCTTTAAATACATGTGAAGATTAAAGCACACATGGTTAGGGTAAATTTGAGTATGAAAATGGGTAATGTCTGACGGGTGCTGTTATTAAAAAGAACAATTAGACTATCATATCGCTACGTTGTTCCTAAAGTTCAACATCTGTATCAAATGGCAGTAAATAAAATAAGTAGTCTAGACTTGCCTGAATGGTCTCCACGGTGGGAGAAAACTTGGAAATGGGCAATTAAACGTTACATAGTTTACTTCCTGCCAAGCAGTTAGCAAACATACCCAGGCATTCCCACCTCCCACCTCTGGATCTTGATCCAAATGGTCGAAGACAGGTAATTGCATAATTTCAACATTTAAAAAATATATCTTGCAGGGGCACCTGGGTGGCTCAGTCTGTCGAACGACTGACTCTTGATTTTGGCTCAGTTCATGATCTCACAGTTTGTAGGTTCAGCCCTCTGTAGGGCTCTGCACTGATGGTGCTGAGCCTGCTCTCTCTGTCCCTCTCTCTCTGCCCTGCCCCCACTGGCATGCTCTTTCTCTCAAAATAAATAAGTAAACTTTAAAATTATATATATCCTGCAGATATATCCATTATCACAGATTTAGGATACATCTGCCATTATTCCGTGAAAAGGATTACATCTTAACACTTCCATATGCAAAGTAAAACCCCATCCTGATTATACACAAGATCCACACATACAACTGTCATCAGTTTTGTTATTTGCCTCAAACTACTTATTATTCATTATACTAGTCCTTACAAGGGTATACTCGAAGGGCATAATTGTTTTCTAATTCATAAAAAATGATTGTTGTCTGGAATGTTCTTCTACAGAGCCTTAGAGTCCTAGAGTTAAATGGAGACAATCCCCTCAATCACATCCTTGACAGGAGGCAGGCTTCTTAGCTGGCAAGTGAAAGGTGAGGGGGAAGAGCCCTTCCTGTTCCGTACTGAGTGATGTGTGAGTTAAACACAGAGTTACAATAACAAGAATTTACTTGCATATTTTTAAGAATGTTTTTTTAAATGTTAAACTATCTTGATGACTAAAAAAAAAGAAAAATCATTTTAGTTTGTTTATTAAAAAAAGAATTAATTAATATACTGCCTCAGTAACTTGTTTACAGCACAACTGTATAATTAGGCACTAAATCAGCAGTGTCACTGTTACCATCTGAATGGAACATCATTTTGCCAATTAGTAGATGATGCATAATAATGTCAAATACACGATGTTACTCGAGTTTTAATTAATTTTGGAGCCAGGGTGCTCATGTATCAAACACAACTGTGTCCTCTCCCTTAGAAATTTGGATATGTGTAAACATAATTTATGTTCATTAAAAATGCAAGACTGTCTCACAATGTGCAGCATGAGATGTTGAAAGGTGAAATCTAAAAACAAAATTCTTCCTGATGAAGATGTACTTTAATAACTGCCATCCCACATTTCTTTTGGTTGCTTTTAGTCCCCGTTGTGGCACCAACAAACATCAACGGAGGTGGAGGAAGTCGTTCGGAACTCGTCATTACGTGGGAGGTAATTTTCTGTCCAACTGAGTTATTTTGAAAGAAAAAGATTTAGCTGGCCAGGAAGAATACTGAAAAACAAAAAGATTTATTTGATCACTACAGAGAATATATAAAAATACGTGGTATAAAAGACTCCCCATGATGAATTACTTAGAGGAGGTATTGGAAACTTTTCTTATTTCTACTCAAGTGAGAGAGGATAACTGACTCAACACAATTCTCTCCCAAATATAAGAAAAACAACTTCAATGTCTATTTTAGATTTGTCAGTAGCATTTTAATTATTACTTGAGGGACTAGACATTATTGTATTTATTATCTCTGGAACTATTCTCTTGTGCACGAGTTAAACTCTTTGGCATGCAAGTAGAAACAGTTCTTTTCTTATCACTGTTCTTTAAGCCTTTCCCTGCATCTAGACAGAAGTTTGGGCAAATGGTGTAGCTTTTATGATTATTATTCTTATGAATTTACATATAGACTCATTTTTATGCTTGTTATAAATTTCAGCCTGGTTTATTATCATAAACTTCAGACTTTCCTCCAACCTAATGTTTCTCATTTCCAGTAGCTTGGGCTTGCCTCAGCCTAGGTCTTCTACAGTGTGAAAGGCAATGTAGAGTCAGATCTTTACTTATTCCCCATTCTGCTGTGGAATTTCTCCTTTCCTACCCACTGTGTTACTTCTTGCTTCTCCAGGGTTGTAGTGGGTTTGGGCTGGGAGAAGAGGAAAAGTACTGAAAAGATCCTGATTGCTGGTACACTGGTAATTTGACTTTGATGTATTCCAAAAGTGGCAAATGGCCAGATGCTGTTATTTTTTTATTAAGTTTCTAATTTTAATTCTGGTATACTTAACATGCAATGTGATATTAGTTGCAGGTGTACAATGTAGTGATTCAGCAATTCCATATATCATTCAGTGCTCATCATGAGAAGGGTGCTTTTCAGTCTCCATCACCTATTTCACCCATCCCCCTCCCACCTACTTCCCCTCCTGTACCCATCAGATGCTGTTATTTCATAGGGTAGTTGTTTTTTTGTTTGGTTTTGGTTTCTGTTTGGGGGAAGGGGCATCCAGGAGGTCCCCCACTGGGGACTTCTAGTTATGATTCCTTGGGGCAAAGCCAGTTGACTGGTGGAAAGTCTCCTCGGTTCTTGGGGTCTGGCATGGTTCATACCAGCCTCTTCTAGGGTAGATTATTTTCCACTTCTAGACGGTCTTTGTGGTTAGAGTCCCTTTCAAAGCTGCTCATGGACAGGTCCCTTGCATGAGATTCACAGTTACCTCCGCAAACACCTTTGCTGTGTGTTCGTTAGGACTACAGTGCATGCTTGCTTAGCCTCTTTCCACTCTGCCACTATGTGCTGTCCAGGTCTCGCTCTCCTTTAGAAGTTTCTCAGGTATTTATTTGTCAGTTAAAAAAACCCATGTGTCCCAAATTTCAGAGAGCACATACCAACTGGTTCTTTGTGAGGCCTCTCCACTTGGTGAGGCAAATGATAAGAAGTGACCCCTTTACTTTCCTTTGGTAGAGGGGTGGGAATGCACAGCTTTTTCTATAACTCTCTCAGAGAAAATATTTTCCCACTAATCTCACTCTTAAGAAACAAACACTTCTTTGACATACCTTTGTCATAGAAGATGGACTAAATTTTGCCTATCAATGGCTTGATGCCTCTCTTTGGAATGCATATTATGTCATAACTTTGTTGTCAGCTTTGAGCCTCAGCTATAACTGATAAAAGAACCCTGCCCTTTTTCATTACCGGTGAGCATGTTTCTGACATTTTGATAACAACTTTCATACTGCCAAAGCAGCCACTTCCTTGAACATTTTAATATTATGCCTAAGAGCATGATGGCCATGGATGTTTTAATTAAAAATCATCATGGCTGACATACACAAGAGGGGTTTTCACTGGAAGACGGAGTGATTATGTCTCTCAGGAGACATTTTGCAGTGTCTGAGGACATGTTTGGTTGTGACAGAGAAGTTGGGGGAGGTTTGTTTTTAAGTGGAGGCCAAGATACTGTAATACATCCTCCAATGCATAGGACAGCCCCCACCACACAGAATATCTGGCCCAAAATGTCAATAGTGCCGAGGTTTAGAAACCTTGCTGTTGTGTAAGTATAATTCATTGCATCTGTAAGTGACCTTGCAGGAGTTAAACACCTTGTATATCTATGTGGTCCATTTTATTCCTTACAGAAATACATTAAATATGGAGAAAGAGTAGTAGTGGGAGTAACCCCTTTTTGTCTGTGAGGAAACTGCTACACAGAGATGTTGCTTTCTCAGAGTTCTAAATGACAGAGGCAGAAGTCAGGTGTAACTACTCTAAAAGTCATTCCTCCTTCTGAACATGCAGTTTCACACACACATTGTGAGCCCAGTACAGTGCCTGGAATGTGGTGTGGCCTGCCGGAGTGCCTATTGTATGGGTAGATGTGTACTGAGGGAAGACCCTCTCAGAGTCCTGAAGGAGAGGGAACAACACTTGTAGAGCACATACAAGGCTTCTGTGCTGCACTGGGCACTCATGTCATTCAGTCCTCAAGGCGATGTTAGGAGGTGGGTAACACCACTTTCAGATAAGAACACCGATGCTTAGAAATGTGATATGGGTAGGGGCATGACGGTGGCTCAGTCAGTTAAGCGTCCGGCTCTTGATTTCAGCTCAGGTCATGATCTCACAATTCGTGGGCTTGAGCCCTGCATCAGGCTCTGCACTGATGGCATGAAGGGTGCTTGGGATTCTCTCTCTCCCTCTCTCTTTCTCTACCCCTCTTCTGCTCAATCTTTCTCTCTCTCTCAAAATTAATTAATTAATTAAAATTAAGAAAAAACAAGAAATGTGATATGGGTGTTGGCTAATGCAGCAGTTGAGCACAGAGGTCTTGTTTCATACTCTTTTACTTTGTCCTATATTAGAATTCCACTTATCCATACATGATGTCATGGTTCAGGATAGGCACAAGTCCCTGTCTCTCCACCTTAAGCAGTAACTGAATCAAATTATTCCTATCCTCTGAACACATTTCCCACAAAGACATTGACTCCCAAGTGAGCCTATAAGACATTTGATTTTGGGTGATGGTAAGTAGGTTATTTGGGGTTCAGTATTCTTTGAAGGCCATATAAACATTTCACCATAGTGCACAGAGAGTTTTGCCTGACTTCATGCATTATTTTTTCTCCTCTAAGGTCAGAAATTACAAAGTTGTTAAATGTTTTTGCACATTCGATATTTGAGATGAATGGGAAATCCTATGTATACTGTTCTTTTGTTTTTCAATTATTTTTGTTGATTTGTTTATTTTGAGAGAGAGAGCAAGCAGGGAAGGGGCAGAGAAAGAGGGAGAGAGAGAATCCTAAGCAGACCCCGCACCATCAGCATGGAGCCTGATGTGGGGCTCAGGCTGTGAGATTATGACCTGAACTGAAACCAAGAGTTGGATGCTTAACCTACTGAACCACCCAGGCTCTCCCTATGTATACTATTCTTTCATAGAGTGTCAGTTACAAGAAAAAAAAATCTTTCCTTGATTTATAGTGTGCACGTTTCCTTAAACCATCACCTTTGGTTAGACCTGGACTGCTCCCTGTTTTCATACACAGATTCTCCCTCACCATACCCATCCTCTCAGGTATAATGTGTTGTTGCTTTCATGCTGTTGCAAGAGCCCATAGGTCTCCCATTTCTGAAAATAGTTACTATCTGGCCTTCTGAAGAAAACATTTACTGGCCTCTATTTAAAAAAAAATTAAGTCAAAGTAATTTCCTCTGTGTGTTTTTTCTTGAGGTATCAGATATGTAAATACTTGCAGAAACTGCAGTAATGAATGTAGTTTCCCATTTATCATTCACATTTGGCATCATGTATATTCAGTTACTGAGCCAAATTCTTCCAATGCCCAAACTTCTTTAAGGAATAGGTTATATATATTTAGAAGGCAACACATACATTAGTTAAAGCCCCAAGAAGGCATTTAGCAGCTCTTTCAAATTCAGTGAACATAAATGAATGTTGGAACTCTGTTCCAAGCAGTGGGGGTACAAAAATAAATTTTAAAAATGTCTGAATGTTCAGAGGTCAACAGGACAAGACAATCTTAATCCAGCATGGCAAAAGGTCAGGAAAGGTACCACCCTGCCTTCTCTAAACTATGTTTTAAAAAAAGAAATTGAGAATGTAGACCATTCCAGACCAAAGTCATCGCTATGGTAGATGGAATACTATCTGACTGACTTCCAAAACTAAAGCACATCCTATGACCATTCTAAATTCACTCAGAATCTACTGCGGTTTATAAGTGACAGCTTTACTGGTCACCCCAGACTGCTGCTCATGTAAGTACACCATGGTATAATAATAAACATCCTCCTTGTGTTTTCTCCAGTGCCAAAGTAAAGCATATTTTGTGTTTATTTATTTGTTGTGGTTTGTTTTGTTTCCAGCAACCTAGACACAATATGTAACTTTTGGAATGTAGTAAATGCCAGTTCCTTTTTTAAGGGTATCTTTATTCCATCTTACCATAAGTTATACTCCCAGATACTCTCAAGTTTGAGATACTTATGGTAAATATGTCATATGAAATAGGACTATAAAATTAGGAATAGGGGATAAAGCACTGTGGAGTAAGAGATAAACACCTATACTAGGAGTTGATAAATATATATTATATATATTTTTTAAAGGGTTGGTCAGGAAAATCATTCTGCCTTGTGGACTATACACATTCTCTCACAACTTCCCATCCCCCCATCATCATCAAAAACATCCACATATCATATATAAATGAATGGTTGCGACTGTGTTTATTATTTTCAAAACCAGGCTGCAGACAAGATTTGGCTCTTAGGCCAGTTTGTGTCCTTGGTCTGTACTAAAGATTATGTTCTAGGGGCGCCTGCGTGGCTCAGTCAGTTAAGTGTCCAACTTCAGGTCAGGTCATGATCTCGCAATTTGTGAGTTTGAGCCCCACGTCAGGCTCTGTGCTGACAGCTCAGAGCCAGAGGCATGCTTTGGATTCTGTGTCTCCCTCTCTCTCTGCCCCTGCCCCACTAGCATTCTATCTCTCTCTCTTTCTCAAAATTAAACATTAAAATTTTTTTGTAAATAAAGATCCTGTTCTTAGTCTTTACCAACTTTAATAGATTTAACTACCAGAAGAATTTCTGAATTTATTCTACTGAACACTTGGCTTTCCTTAAAGAAGGAAACGTTTGTTCTGACCCTCTTAAACAGCTCTTTATCCCCTGCCCTATGGGAAGAATAAAATGACCCAAAATAGGTATCTTTCCCCCGTCCCCCCACCCCCACCATCTAAACTATGTGTGTTAGACTCAGATCTTGAGGGAACATCATGAGAAACACAAATTGTCTTGACTAACAAAAACTAAAGTCCCTCACTTTCTCAAATGAGCTAAAGATCTTGATTAAATTTGAGATCAGAGGAGCATCAAAACATATCTAATGCTCTAGCAAGTAGCTTAAGGTCTCATAAATCTCTTCCATTCCACCAAAAATTAACTGTTTTAATTCTGATCTCCCTGTGAAAGTGTTAATACAAGGAAACATTTCCTTCCCCAGGTTTTAGGAGCTGTATATTTTCTTCCTCTTTTCACTCTCTGTATTTGTTAGACTGTTCCACATGGCAAGAAACAGAGCCCAGCTCAGGTCGTCTCAGTTAATGGGGATTTATTTTAAAGCTACGTGGGAGGTAATGAAGATGGAAAAAAGTCTCACTAACCAAGCAGGCAAGTCAGATGAAGAACTGCAACATCGTTCACCACTGTTCAGAGCCCAGGAGCTCTAGTCTGCTTCGAGCTACTCTGGTGGCCCACTTCCCGCTCCAATAGTCCCTCCTGCTTGCACTCACTCCTTTCTCGTTCCTTTACTTACAGCTTCTTATTTCAGTAACTGCTACATTCTGTCTCTTCTCTATGTGATTTATAGCTGCCATTTCCTCCCAGCTTCTACTGCTTCATTTTCCCTACTGTATTCATTGTGTATTTTTTTCAGATTGCCTACTCTAAGTTTATCAAGTATTGCCCCCACCTGTGTTTCATATTCAAACTCTGTAGAGGAGAGGAATCCATGGGGTCCATCAGTCACAACAGAATGCAAAGATTTGGCACCCAGCACCTTATAGTGTTTAAGATGGCACCATTGATTCTGGTGCCCATTGCTGCCTAATTAGATGTGGTCCAGGTCTCGGGATAATTTGATACAGTGAATGGATATGTATGGGTAAAGGAAACCTCAGAAAAGGACATGTAGGCATGTGGGACTCAAGGATTAATGTCCTATCAGGCATGCCTTTAGTAGTGTATCAAAATATTTCAAAAAGAAAAGATAAGAAAGAAATTTTTCTTAAAAACAAGCCTACATTTTCATAGATTTTTAAATACAACCTTCTTATAAACAGATGGAATATCTATCTAAATTCAAGCATACATTTATTTTTTGTGTTTATTTCATGTGATTATTTATATCTGTAGAGTTCTGGGGAACTTAGATCTATTTTTGTTTCGTAATTTTAATAAGTTTAGGTTTTAGATGAGTCTTACACAATTTGGTCACTGTGGGAATAAGCCAATTTTGTTTTGTTTTGTTCTTTTAAAAATGTCTGGAAAAGCACACCCTGATATTACTACTAATGAAGATGTATGTTTTAAAAATACAAGGAGGTCTTTTATGCTTTTTTGTTTGAGTTATACTCTATAAGTCTTAAAGCAAATATTATTACCTAATACTTATATTATCTGTATCTTACAAGAATTTGTTGAAAATTTTACGAGAGGAAAACAAAGCTGGCATTGAAATCGTTAATAAGTTAATTTTGTGCTGAGTTTAAAAATTCATATCCAAATTATGTTTTAACTTAAAAATCTCACAATCTTCTAAACTATTTTTATTACATTTCATTATTGCAGCTCAATGAATAATCATGGAAAGAGATATAAACATGTAAAACCTGTTTTACATTTCCATTTAAATTTTTCATTTATTTATTTGAATATCTTTAATTGGGATCATTTTCCTACTTGGTATTTCAAATAAAAGTATTATTTTTTCAATGTTTCATTAAACATGGTTAACATCCTTGTTTGTCTACACAAAAAAATGCCAATTAATCAATAAAAATTATAATAGCTTTATGAAATATTTTTGTAAATACTCAGTGCTTGATCACTTCTGCCCAAGTCAATTCCAGAAGAACTACAGAATGGAGAGGAATTTGGATACATCATCATGTTGCGGCCAGTTGGCTCAACAGCCTGGACCAAGGAAAGAGTACCATCTGTGGAATCATCGAGGTTTGTTTACAGAAATGAAAGCATCACCCCCCTCTCTCCCTTTGAAGTGAAAGTGGGTGTATATAATAATGAAGGAGAAGGATCTCTGAGTACTGTATCCATTGTCTACTCTGGGGAAGATGGTAAGTTGTGGTCAGCCCTGGAATGGTCAGATTTGAGAATGTATGCATATTCTGCATTCATTTTCCATGAACCACTCTACTAAAGACGATTGTGTCTCTCTTTGAATGATAGAACCTCAACTGGCCCCAAGAGGAACTTCTGCCCAGAGTTTTTCTGCTTCAGAAATGGAGGTTTCATGGAATGCTATTGCCTGGAATAGAAACACTGGAAGAGTGCTGGGCTATGAGGTAATCCACATTAATCTCACTTCCATTTGGGAATATGCTAGCTAATTACAAATTCTTGTTCAGTACTGCTAACCTAGTTCTTAGCATATAATACTATATGTCTATAGCTGTGGAGTGGAGTAAAGAAGAGATCTTTCTAGGTGACCTTAGGCAAGCAAATTAACAAATGGTAGCCATTTTTAAAATGGCCAGGTAATTATCTCATTTATATCTTCAAATCACCATCATATTTGTTTCTTGGGGAATAATAAATGTCTAATCCTCAATGATCTTGAATCATAAAAGAATTTCACTGAAAAAGCTGTCTTTGAATTGGAACATGACTTGAGTAGATGTAGTCATCTTGAAAAGGCAGTTAAATCATAAGGAAAAAAAAAACACCCTAGATTTTCCTTAACCCGTCCTTTATAGTCTGTACTGAATGAGGTAAATCACATTTATGAGCCTTAGCTCTCACAAAGTTAAACAATGAGACTTCCTACCTACTTATTATTCTTTAACTTGCAAATCCAGTGATTCCCCAAATGGATTACACATTTAATCTTTTTTGGAGTTACAGTAAAAGTATAATTCTTAACCCCTTTAGTTGCTCCTTACACTGTTTTTGTTTTTGTTTTTAATGCAGTTTCTGGTTCAAACAGAAAGTTCTATTCATATGATAGGTCTCTCTGTTACTCTAATCCTGGAATGTCTTACCTCTTATCTGAATCCTATTTATTGATGAAAGCTCATCTCTAGTTTCCTCTTCTAACTCTTCTCTGATCACTCCCTGATGTTGGGATTCTTCAAATTCCCACAGCATTTTTTCACTTATTGGAATGCATCCTCTGCCTTTTATTTGTCTATATATTCTAGCCTCTCAACTAGACTATAAGGGATTCAAAGGCAGGCACCAAACTTTATTCTCTTTTGTCTTTTTCAATGTGCATAAATCAAGGCTAAATGTATAGGAAGAGCCTGATATAAGTTGAATTATTAACTAACATATCACTCAAAGAACTCTGGAGGAAATATCAAGACCAAAACATAACTGAAGTCTGTTATTGATGGTATGGATCTTGCTTTGGTCCAAGTTATTATATACACTTTGTTAAAGCTGATAACCTTTTAGGTAGCTCATGCAATATTTTATTTTGGTAACCTAAAAAAAAAAAACCCTCTAGATTCTCTAATTTCCATTGTGAATTTTTATTTTTTAATTTCCTCCCTATAAATCTTGGACTTTGATTATTTTGTTTTTATTGTATAACCACTGTAATTAGAAAATACTCTTCTATTTATGCTCCTGTTTCTTCCCATACCCTACCATGGTTGATAGTTGCTGGGAAACAATGAATTGTTTGTTCTTTATTTTTAATGATCAGATATTATACTGGACAGATGACTCCAAAGAATCCATGATTGGGAAAATTAGAGTCAGTGGGAATGTCACAACTAAAAACATCACAGGGCTGAAAGCTAATACTATCTACTTTGCTTCTGTGAGAGCTTACAACACTGCGGGGGCAGGGCCCTCAAGCCCTCCAGTCAATGTTACCACCAAAAAGTCTCGTAAGTATGCATCCCGCTGCAGGGACCAAGATTCATCTATAAATAGAAACATGTTCCTTTGCTTATCTCCATTTCATTCCTCCCACCTCATCATTTTACCTTCTGCTTTGTTTGATGAGTTTGTCCCTTTAATACAGTTAATTGTTGAAACTTTTGGGTAACAATTAAAAAAAAAACATTTTGATCTTTTAGGAATTCCAAAAAAGAAAATATTCTGAGTATATAGATGGAAGACAGAAGAGTGTACTGTTTAAAAGCATGGGCTCTGATGCCCTGCCCCAACCTGAGTTCAAAACCTGACCTCTTAGGTTGCCTGGGTGGCTCAGGCAGTTGAGTGACTTAGCCTCAGGTCATGATCTCATGGCTCATGAGTTTGAGATAGCTCAGAGCCTGGAGCCTGCTTCAGATTCTTTGTCTACCTCTCTCTGGCCCTCCCTCACCCATGCTGTGTGTGTCTCTCTCAAAAAATGAATAAACATTAAAAAATAAACCCTGACCTTTCACTCTTGGATTATTGAATGGTTATTTCGTCTTGCAGAATCTCAATATCCTCACCTGGAAAATGTGTGAATAATAGTACTTATTTCCTCACAAGGCTTTCTTTAAAGTGAAAGACCTAAAGAATATATCTAGTACATACTTCAGTAAATGCTTAGTAAATGGGTTTTTTTGTTTGTTTCTAATTTGTCTTGTTTATCATTTGAGAATTAGACTGTACTCTGATGTGGTCTTAGCACTGCCAGATGTCTAGCTCTTTCTTTCTAGAATAGCTTATCACTACACGGTACTTAGAAGTCCCTCATATTTAAGAATTAACTCTTCTGCTTCTTTTTAACTCCCTTAATAGTCCACCAGCTGTCTTTCACATAGGCAAGGCCTACTGAATAAAGGATGAGTAGTTGATTGTTGCTGTATTATGTTCTATGAGTGAGTCTGGTAGTGCACAAGTATTCTATAATATGAGGCGCAGTGATCAAATATGATTTAGTAATAGCTGCCATATGTCCTTTTTATGACTGTATAATACTGGTATATTCCTTACTTGTTGTACATAAACATAAATTATTTCTGTTCACAGGCTTTTAAAAGCACATTCTTTGGTCTCTGAATCCCAATAAATAAGAGGATTCACATATAGTTGCTGAATTTTGAGAAACAGTTCAAACATTATGTAGTTCAAATAGAGTTGTTTAATTTTGAAGAAGACTAAGAGATGGGTACATAGGAAAAGGATGGTTGGCTTTTAAATGCCGTATTCTTCTCTCCTGTGTGTTGAAAAAGGTGGTTGAACATAGTTTGAAAATCAAGTGACATAAAGTTTTTTTCCATACACATATATTTGTCCTATCCAAAAAGAACTTATAAACCATCTCAGTTATTAAACCTTTGATTATAGAATACATGATCCATTTATGTCCACATCACCAGGCAAGAAGTCAAAGACCTGTGTTCTAATTCCGGATAAATCACTGATTCATGACCTGAAACAGGACAAGGCATTCCATTTTTCTGCTTTAATTTTCTTATCTGCTAAGTGTAAGTTCTCTCTGCCTTCACCCCTTTCCCAAATCATTGGTGAAGCACCAATGAGGTGCTGATTATAGGAGCACCTTGGAAAACACAAAGTGCTGTGAAACGCTAAAGAAGAAACAGACAGATGAACCAACAGCCTCTGGGAATCAGTCCATTCAAAGAGAGTGGGACCAATAATTCTTAAACCAGCTTTCTTCCAATCCACATAATTTGAAAGAGACTGGGTCATGAACAATCCTCAAGAACTGACTAGCTAGAAATGTAATTCCCTTTCTCCTCCTGTTTTATCTCATGTTGGCCAAATCAATGAAGCCACTGCCGTATACCCATATGATATGTGCTTCTGGAGTCTAACCTTTTTCAGCTAATCTTCAAATCTGGATAGAAATGTCCAGTGGTTTCAAGATTGTCCAGGCATTTTCTCTAGCTGATTTAGATGCCAAACTCACAGAAACTCCTCTGAATAATTCAGTTCCTATCTCAGGCAATATCAAGAGTGAAATGTGCAAAGATAAAATCTCACACGTTTATATCGTCATAAGCAGAGAGACATGATAGTGCAGTTATTGAGGCAATGCTTAGGTCAGCTCATATTACCTGTGTTCCTATTGATCATCTTAAGGTGGACTGGGACTCAAACTTTTAAAAAGTTTTAAAAATAATTTATTTTTCTGTAACCTGAATTTGCCAGTTTGATTGTCCATGCAACTTAAATCAACCATGCATTAGTTTATGCTAACTTGTTCTATGTATTTAAGTAGAAAATTTATTTTTGACATGGTGATCTCAGATTTGTTCAGTTGACCTGTTTCAAGTACTGGATACTTCAAGTGGCCTTAACTAAAATTTGGATTAAATGCTAAGATGATCATTGGTGGATTGTCTGAGTGTTAACACGTGCTCATCATCATCAAAGAGTGTGGAACATATCCTTTGAAAACAGTATGATTAACAAGGAGAAATTCCCCCAAGATGTAATGTTAGAATGTTTCTGCTGAGAGAAAAGTGAGATGATATTCAGAAAATTTTAAGTGAAGTTTAGTATTTTTACACATTCAAATTCTTTCTCGATTAAATCAAACACAAAAACCGTTATAATTCCTAATTTCTTTATGGCAATTTTGTTCAAATATTTCTTAAATTTGGCTTTCACCAGTCTGCATGCTTCATTGACACAGCCAAAAGGACTTGAGAGTAAGAAGTTCTGCACGTCTCCAACTCATTTTATTTGAATACCAATTAAACCTCTAATTTTATTCTGTAACATTCTGTATCATTGTCATTGCGAAAATAGAATAGAAATTGTTTTCAATTTGTATTGGTACTGTTCAGATTTCCACAACGTGGTGGTTCAAAGCAAGACTAATTTATTTCTGTACCCTTGTAGAGGTCAGAAGTCAAAAACGAGGTTCAGTGGTTGGAAATCAAGGTGTTGGCATAAGCTGTGCTCCTTTTGGAGTCTCTAGAAGAACATTTGTTCCTTTGTGTCTTCTGGCTTCTAGAGATCATCTGTACTCCTTAGCTGACCCCTTCCTGTATCTTGAAGACCAGCAGATTATTATTTTCAAATCTCCCTGTGATTCTCTCTCTGCTTCTGTCATTGTATCTACTCTGACTTTGCCCTCCTGCCTTTGTCTTTCCCTCATAAGGATTATACTTCACCCACCTGGAGGATCCAGGATTGCTTCTCATCAAAAGAGCCTTAATTTAATTACACCTGTGCAGTCCTCTTTTCGAAATAAAAAAAAAAAAAAATAGAGGATGCCTGAGTGGCTTAGTTGGTTGAGCATCCAACTTCAGCTCACATCATGATCTCACGGGGTTCATGAGTTCCAGCCCCACATCAGCTCACCGGTGTCAGTGCAGAGCCTGCTTCAGATCCTCCATCCCGCTTTCTGCCCCTCCCCCATTCATGCTCTCTCTCTCTCTCTCTCTCTCTCTCTCAAGTAAATATTTTAAAATTAGGAATTACAAGGGTTTATATTTGTTTCGTTTAATCAAGAAAGAAAAGGGAAACTTAAAAATACTAATCCCTTGGGCACCTGGGTGGCTGAGTCAGTTAAGCATCCGACTTCAGCTCAGGTCATGATCTTGTGATTCACGGGTTTGAGCCCTCATCAGGCTCTGTGCTGACAGCTTGGAGCCTGGAGCCTGCTTAGGATCCTGTGCCTCTCTCTCTCTCTCTGCCTCTCCCCTATTCATGTTCTATTTCTCTCTCTCTCTCTTTCTCTCTCTCTCAAAAATAAACAAACACAAAAAAGTTTTAAAAAGTACTAATCCTACAAGTTCCAGGAATGAGGATATGGAAATGTTTGAGGGAAAGGCCTTATTCAATTGACCATGGTTATAAAATACTGAGCATGTCTATATCCTAAGCCCCGTATTAATTTTCCACATATATTATTTCATTTAGTTAATACAACAAATCAAGGAGTTTCATATTTTAATTCCTAGATATGAAGACAAAGGCCTACTAAGGTTGTTTTGGCATCCATTAGGCTGAGACACAATGAACACGAATGGATTCTCTGAATCTCTTCATCTCATGAACACTGTGCTAATTTGTAATATTCATCTCTAACCATCTAAATAGTTTCTTTCCAAACTCTCAAATCTTCAGGAAATCTCAAATGGTCTTTAGATATTTCCTCCTAAAATTGAATCATGACCCATTCCCCTTCCAAAATTTCATTGTCTCCTCTATTCCACGGAACAAAGGCTAAGAGATCTTTCACCATCTGTCCCAAGCTCCCTTTGTATCCTGATCTAGCTAGTCATAATAGCACCAGAATTATTGATCTTCTACAGTTCAACATTCACTTACCTAACTTCCTATATTCTCTCAGTGTGGCATGCCCCCGCCATGCCTGTCAACAGTCAAATATCTTTCCTACTGATTTGTCACTTTACCCTATTTTCCCCTTTAATGTATTTGCAATTTTCCTGAGTGTTCCACTACTTTGGCCCATTGTGAGAGAGTGTTGGAAAGAGAAAGGGATTCCTGAGTGAAAGAAGTTTGGCTGTGAGTCTCAGCTCCACCATGTACTACCTGTGTGACAGGTTTGATTTCCTGATAACTCAGAACCCATTTTCTCATTGGAAAAACTGATGAAACTTCCTCCAGAGTTTGCTCTGGGAACTAAAGGATATTATGTACACCAAGGTGCCCCAGAGGCTGCCATACAGCAAAAGCTCAATGCATCATAACATATTGTACTTCTTCTGTAGTGGGGATTTCACTTTATTTGCATTTCTTAAAGCAGTAAAACACTTTTTACTGTCTTTCTCTTTGTAAATCGTTGCAGAAATTTTTTTCAAGGGTCATGAAAGGACAACCAGAGCAAAGATGAGGAATGGCGTTAATGAAACATTGAAGATAGCTCTGATTCCAAATGCTATCCCTGGATCTAATTTTGATTTTCCATGTCCTTGAAATGACATCAAGATTACCTCAGAATAGTGGTGACAGCAAAAATTCTGCATCCATCACACATTCATACTGTCACGGTCTAGATTTTCAGTCTGATACTTGATCATCCATTGTAAATTCTCAGAAAGCAAAGCTCACATTTACCAAAATCTCTGCCTATTCTGATTGGGCAAGCTAAACAGAAGACTTAGAGTCTCTTTTTGGAAGCATGATGATTCAGTCAATCACTCAAGAAAAATAGTGCTTCAAACAAGCTATGCATTGGGTTAGGTGGCTGATGGAGATTAAACAACCAAAATCCCTGCTTTCAGGCAATTTTCACATATAGTGGAGAGGTAACCTGAAAGAAAACAAAGCAAAACAAAAAATTAAATAATCATAAATTAAGAAAAATAGCACAAAGAGAATAAGAGGGTGAGAAATACTTAAAAAGGAGGACCTATGTAGTGAAGGGTATATATTTTGATATGTCATGAATCATAAAAAAGAGCTAGTGGACAAAGGAATCTCCAAATAGGAAGAACAGCATATGCAAAGCTTTTGAAGTCTTTGTTAATATTGTTACTGGCGATGATGATGATGGCCTTTTTGGGGTTTTTTAAAGTAAGTATCAGTGATTTAACAAGAATCACAACTTAGTGAAAAATGGTCTATTTCTAAAAGAAAACTGAGGGACATTGCAAATATATTGTGATCTGCACAGATATCACTTAAATGGAATTTAGATTGCAATCAAAGGAAGAAAAATATTTACATCCATTCCAAAAAGAAAAGAAAAAAAAAAACACTACTGCTTATATAGAAAGAAATATTCAGACCCAGCAACACAAAGTGTTTGTAAATTTTGGTTCAATTTGGCCACTGTCATTGACTGACTAGTACTCCGTGCTGGATTTTTCTTGCTGTAAATTTGCAATCAATCCATATTTAGATATAAAGGAAGCATTAAGCTTTTATTTCATCTTGCTCTTATGTTCTTTCTCTCTTGCCCAAATGTCAACCTCATGCTGTTACTTAGAAGTGTAACATAAGAAGTTGTTTTTGAATTGAGTTCACAGTGTGAACTACAGTTGAATATAAATGCCATCTACAGAAAAATTGATCACTAAGAAACCATTAGAACTGTAGAGGGCTAGTTTAATATTGCTCCATCATTTGATTAATAGAAAATGATTTTGTCTTTGAAAATTGCCTAGAAAGCTTTTAAAAATTAGAAAAGGGCTTGTTTTGTTGAGTTTACCATTGACCAACTTGGTACAAATATCCATGGCATGTGTTTCATATGGTCCATGTGACAGCGTTTTAGATTTTCACAGTAATGGAAATTTCAGTATCATCATGGATATTTGAAATCCAGTTTAATTATGTACATTAAGCACATAAAACCAGAACTGTTAATAGTGTTTGTATTAAGCAACTTTCTAAATCAACTTTCAGAAACTTCATTTAAATACTAGACAAAATGCATTGGCATTGGAGTCATCCTTATGGACAAAGATAAGAAAGAAAGAATTTCCCAGATAATTAGCTGAAACTCTACCACTTTATCTGTCTTTTTTTTGCAAGGGATTTTCTTAAAATTTTAAGTTTTATTTATTTATTTTTGAGGGAGAGAGAGAGAGCATGGGAGGGAGAGAGAGAATACCAAGTAGGCACTGCCAGCACACAGCCTAATGTGGGTCTCAAACTCAACGAGCTACAATATCATAACCTGAGCCAAATCAAGAGGCAGACGCTTAACTAACTCAGCCACCCAGGAACCCCTGTCTGTTGTTTAAAAAGTGTCCGAAGAAGCCAAGTAAAAGCAATACTCTTAAGGGAGAATGTTAAATTTACCCTAATTATATTTAAGAAGTGGATTATTTGCACACTTTGAATTATATTATTACTAAAAATACTTTGAACACAATTGAAAAAAATTGATTATGTCATAATATCTGAGTGGAGAACTGTTACTCTCAGGAAAGACAATTAGCAGTTTTTGAGCTTTTTAACATGTACCACTAACCAAGTGCTAAACATTTCATATTTTATGGTATATAAGCTAAAAATCTTATAAACTAGGAGATTTTTAACTCCTCCCAAAGATGGAAAAACTAGGCCTCTTGGAAGAGACTGGATACAGATTCATATCTCTCTGACTTTAAAGGCCAGTTCTTTCCACCTCCTAGATAGCAAGACAGCAAAGCATTCTAAGTGATCTATGCCATTGGCCATTCACACCAAGGATTCATTCCTGGTAGAACGTTTCTCACTTTATGTCCATAGAATACTTTACTTATACTTCAGTAGATGAAGAAACAAATGCTACCAGTTTGATGTCATTACCATGGTTATAAACTCCTTGTCCACATAGTTGGTAGAAGTCAGTTCTCTCTCCCAGCCTGGAGCTTCGCCAGTGGATTTGTAGTGTTAAAAACAGTACTTTTTCTCTGAATGAACTACAAAACAGACACAAAAATAGATGAAACTTCGAAGTCCATCACTGCCAATGACATCAAAGGAGTGAATTTATATTTTCCCTGTATTGATTCTACAATGTCGTTAATGTTAGTGCTTCATTTTAAAGAACAGAGATAAAAGGAATGTGCCACAAGAGCATACTAGATATTAAAACTTTGGTATCTTCTGAGAATTTTTATATTATCTCTTTTATAACTGAGAAAAAGATTAGAAAAGGCACCCTGGGATACTTGAGGGAGAATAGTTAACAAAACTATAATTGTTGCAATCTAGTCCTTCAGCAACAAAACATATTGACAGACATACATTGAGTGCTTACTAAGTGTGAAACTCTTAGGCCTTTAATTATGATTGGGTCTATATCGCCAAGAAAGGTACTAGAGAATGGGTAAGCCAGTTGGCCTGTCTGTCTTATAAATCAAATGAATTGCTTAAGGTTTGTCCATGGCAATTGACCCTGATTATAGGAAATGAATGGATGGGCCACGTTGTGTCACCTATGGATCTGCCCACAGCCCAGTACATAATCAATATAACCTGAGAAAATCACGCAGGACTCGGAGTAGTTTTTCTTTAGCTATCTTATTGTAGTCATTTATTCAACACATATGAATTGTATGTCTTCTATGGGCCAACCTTTGTGCCAGTGGTTGATAAAACAGAGTTGAAAAAGACACATTTAAAGAAGCACAATCAAGAATAACTATTTGTCAGTGTGACAAATCCATTATAAAATATGAACTGAGCCCCATTGGAAGCACAGATGGGAAACAAGTATCTTGGCCATGTCTCAGCTGAGGTGTAAGTAACTAGGTGGACAAGAATAATGTCCTTGTGGGTTTATGCCAACAGGAATATAAGATAATGCAATGCCAGACACCCTGAGACTCTTCCCGGGACTTGTAAGAGATAAAACAGCAGTTGAGTCAAAGCTCCAAAAGAAATCATTTCCATCAGTGTTATAATGAGTTAAATATTATGCTCATTTAGCCTCACAAATTCAAATAAGATGCCAAAAACATCTTGCTGGGTAGTTTTATCTTTGCCTCTGCTTTCCAGCTAAATTATTTTAATCCCTCCAGTTTCCTAAATCTCAAAAATAATCACATGGACTCAAATCTCTGAGAAGCAGCATGTTGTCATGGAGGAACACTGGCTTAGAAATCAAGAGAGCAGGATTCTCATGTGACACAGCCACCCTTCAACTGCTTGCTTTTGGATAACTGGCCTACCAACCTGGACTCTAGTTTTCTTGTATGTAAAATCCTCCAGATGGACTAGATCCAGTACCTTAGAAGGCTGATTCTAAGACCATCTTCTTTTACTACTTACCACCTTTCTCCTAGTCAGCATTAATTTCTGGGAACTAAAAACTGCATTTTGGATTTGGAGTAAACATCTTTTGGGATGAGCACCCAGATTGTAATGATTCTCTCTTTTCTGGGTTTCCATCAGCTCTATACTCAATGACATGCACTTTTCTTAGCATTTAGCCACAATTGATTAAAGTGAGATAGACATGGCCAAATGTAATCAATCATTGTCTTTCTCCTGGGCGTCTAGCCTGGGCTATCTCTGAACAGAGTAGATTTCAAATGTCAGATATGGAGACCAGTCATGATTTCTCCCAAATACACTGAGAATGACAAAGAGGTCTATAGCATTTATAGCAAGATGGGCATGCAGCAAACACAACTGTGGGAAGCAGAAAGAACTTCTTGGCTTTTTGACATTTTTATTTTGTCCCTCTTAAAGTTCTGCTGCATTTTGCCATGAGTTCTATGAGATTCTCCTGTATACATCATAATCTCTTACTATTTTGCTTATAATATCTTGAGTTTATTGTGTTACCTAAAGTTACAGAGTCCTAACTAATGCAAGATTAAAAAGGAAAAGACTACTAGGAAGTAATGCCCCTGTTTTAATGTGTATGAAAGTTTTGTAGCCTGAATTTGTTTGATATGCTCATGGATTGATGATGACATGCAACACCAGATAACAGAGCCCTCCATCTATTTATATATTGGTAAAGTAAACCAACTAAACAGCAATGATTAATAAATTAATACTGAACATGTAACAAGCCATTATTAATTCATAAGTTTGTCACAAAGACATTCCCAAATGACCAGGATTTAAGTGAATTTGCTTATTCTGATTAGAATTAGTATGATATTTCAAATAACACTGAAAACCGTTTGCTTCTTTTCTGATAATCATCTAGGACTTCTTGTCCCATTTCATGTTGATGGGCCATACAGTAACCACGAGCTAATTAATATTCATTTAGATCTTTGATTATCTCTTTAAAGCTCCAAGCCAACCACCAGCTAACATTGCCTGGAAGCTGACAAACTCTAAAATATGCCTGAACTGGGAACATGTAAAAACCATGGAAAATGAGTCTGAAGTGTTGGGCTACAAGGTATTTCATTTTTCCTTTAATACTATTAATTAAATTACTAAGGAACTAAGAGTGTCACAACCAAATAAGAAATAAATTTATACATATAGAAATACTGGAATCTTTTTAAAAATTATTTGAAAAATGCTTAGCATTGGCACTTTCAAATTCTTCATTGTAAAGTTTTATATTCTGAGGATAATTGTGTCATGGCACAACAAGAATAAAACTCTATAGTAAGCAACACTTTTTCTTCAGGGGCTTCCCCCTTGCCATCAGAAGATGATGGTGTGTGGGGGTAGTAAGGTGAGATGAGAATGAAATCCAAGAATATATTAAAATAGAAATTCTAGAGCTTAGTCTGCAGTGGGATATAAGCCTTTAACCACATAAAAGGAATCTAACAAAAGTATAGCCAAATACCCAGAGCACATTATTTCTGTCACTGGTAATGGACATCATCTTCTGGCAAATGCATGTATCCAGCATTTGAAATGGGTCCAAACTAACCAGTGACTTTTTCACAGCAAGCTCCAAAAGTAGTAGCCTCAAGCTATTTAATTAATAGAGATAAGTCTATTCTCATTTCAGAAGCATTGGCCAAAGACAAAATCTTTTTTTTTTTTTTTAATGACTAAATTTAAGGAAAAGGCATAGACCAGATATTTCCATTCAAGGAGGACAGCATTTATAATGATATGTTGTAGCGTGTTCCACAAGAGTGTCTGGACCTTTAAAAAAACAACACGTCCGTTTAACTTTGATTCACTATTTTATTCAGATTCTGTACCGGCAAAACAGACAGAGTAAAACACATATCTTGGAGACAAACAATACATCAGCTGAGCTTCTAGTTCCGTTTGAAGAAGACTACTTGATTGAAATAAGAACAGTTAGTGATGGTGGGGATGGAAGCAGCAGTGAGGAAATTAGGATTCCAAAAATGTCAAGTAAGTTGAGTCACCATCGCTGTTGTAGATTTTGAATCTGGACAGCTGCAGCCGAAATCTAGGCTCTCTGAAGCTTTCCAATTCTTGTTTGAATGTTGGGTGAAAACATAAAAGGTCTGTGTTTCCATTTTCAGTTGTGAACAAGAGGTGATGAGTCAACCTTTCTTTAAATAATCCCTCAAATTTGCAACATGCATACATATTACAAACAGTTTCATGTTTCCTCATTTGATTCTCAAAAAGAAAAAAAGGAAACGAAAACACACAACTGTGTGTCATTGGTGCGTAATTAATTCTCTTGGTACAAAAATCAGGAAGTTTTTCTGTGGGTACTCACAGGCTTCTGGGAGCAGGGACAGAAAATACGAAACACATGTACTCATACCCTTATTCCCATATCCATGGCAGGCATCACTAATCAATCATGCCCTGCATACTGAGCTGAGTCCCAAATCTCAGATCCTCTCCATACAGTGTTCTAAGCAGGTTACACCAGTCAGTAAGATGTAGCACATGATAAGTTTATTATTTTTGCTTCAGATGAATCCTTATTCAACTGCTTGAAGTTGTGCCTTGGTGAAATCATCAGACACCACATGTTGGCATATCCTAGTCTGCCCTTTCATCAGACTTGGTCAATTTGGGCATTTTGCATTTTCATTTTTACATTTAAAACAGATATCCTAGGACAGAAGACTAAAGAGACTTTCTAAAATTATATAATGTAAATGAAACTTTTGTACCATAGCAAGTTATTAGAAGAGAAATGATAGTATGTATTTTGGGTCTTGAAAATTAATCTAACAAGCAATTGTATTTTTTTCTCAAAATGTTTCCTTTTATTTTTCTATTTTGCAGGTTTGAGTTCCAGAGGAGTTCCAATCATAGAGCTTAGCATCTATTTCCTGTCAGTTGTAATCATTTTTTACTGTATTGCAATTCAGCCACTTATACGATGAATAAAACCATAAATCTTTGAGAATTTTTTTGAAAGCAAATTATTCTGTAAATAAGCTCTCCAGCCCCCATCACAAAATCCATTATTATTACAGACTTATTTGGAAAGAAAAAAGTGTATATTATTAAGATCTTGTGAATATCTATGGTGCATTAATTAAACAGCTTTAAACACTTTTGAACTTTAAAGTTTGCACATGATTTCATATATTCAGAAAGTGCCAAATAATCTGTGGAGTTGTGACTTCTGTAGCTTGTAAGTGACTTATATGGAAAGTATGAATAACTCCCCTTGATGACGATGATAAATATGAAACATATTTGAGTTATTACAGAAAATATGTATATTTTTACATGTGCCAGGTGATTTACATCACTATTAAAAATGTTAACCCTACTTGGAATAAAATGTAATTATTTGTTTATAGTTGGGATTCTTTAAAAATGTAGGCTATTCCAAAGGGTAATGTGCTTTTACTTCTGAATGAGGAATATTTGTACCCAATAATATATGTACATACTAGATGTTTCTTTTCAACTTGCCTGTCTAGGAATCCCAGTAATAATAATGGCAGGAGAAAGTGCTTTATGGTAAAGAAATAGAAAAGAAGGGAAATAAGCACCCATATAAAACAATTTAACAAGTCTGGTATATCACAGGCAATTTCTCATAGCAAAATTTAATTTTTTAATCAATTTTGTAATCTCCTAAGAAAAAATTGCATGAACAAGTCTCAGGTAATTATTACAAATTGTTAGCAATGCATGTGGCCTTGCTTTATTTATTTATTTATTTATTTATTTATTTATAATAAATAAACCTGGTAACAGATTGGATATATATCTCCAATCTTCCCTACAACTATAAAAGTAATCCTACACTGTCCAAAACTTATAAAGATTTTTGTGGGTCGACTCTTCTGTAAGGTGAACCTTTTTCAGTCAGTGGTCCTACTTCTTGGAACCACATTCTGGAGAAAGCAAGCTGGGTGCAGGTAAGGTTAATGAGTAGGCCAATGCCATTCTATGTGGCCATCCATTTCCTTCACAAACAGCCTTGAGGAATTTGGCCTCCTGGAAGCTTGTGTTACCTCCTAGCCAATCAGTCTTGATATCCTGGGGAGCTAGGGTTGAGAAATGGCCACCCTAGTTTTGCTTTCTTCACATGGTATAGCCTCTTAAGTACGTTGAAAATATTTGAATTATCCTCACAACCCTCAAATCACACAGTCCTCAAAACTGGATTTTGTTCTTTTCATTTCTAATGTATTTTAGAGCTATTTAAAATACCCAGTGTAGTCAGCAGCAGATGGACAATGACTTTTCATAGTTTGGAATTTCTCCCTGCCTGAATAGTGTGTCAAGCATACAGTACAAATTAATGAGCCTTATTCTCCTCTATGCCCTAAGATATGGCTGTGCTTTGAGGGAGCAAAATAAATAAGCAAAAGCTAATATTGTTTGGCACACTTGTGTTAACAGCTGCCTGTCCAAGACACATATGTATTAATCAGAAATACCAGTGGCTCATTGTCTCAATGGTTTTCTCAACTTAGTGAGAGACAAGATTTGTTCTTCCTCTGCAAAGCAGAGATTGAGAGTCAAATATACTATGAGATTTTTGTTGCCCCTGATTAAGTGAATTAGATACATAGTCATATGTGTATGAGTCTGAAGGGCTAAGGCAGTTCTAATCAATAACTCTTACAGGTTTGCAGTTGTGTTTTAATTCATGATTGTTGGAGTATTAAAAGTATACATTATTCAATATCTACTATTTATTATTTGTCAACCCATACTAAAATTTTTGGAATATAATTTGGCATTAATACTAAATAGCACCTGCTTTGGCTCTTCATTGATTTAAATCTCTACTCTTAGTAAAGACTTGGGCACATCTTTTAACATCCTCACACTACTATTATCAGGATTAAAGTGTAATGCATTCAGCATTGCAAGTTATCAACAAATAGAGCTGCTGTCATCTGCTGCTATGAAGTAAACCCCTAATGAAATAAGTTACTGTAATTCCTTAAGTGCCCAATAGACTATGCAAGCAGATTCAGCCTCTGCTTATGTCAAAATCCAGAAAAGTTGCAAGAAAAATAAGTAGTCCACCTACTCTGGGCACTAAATGGCACTGAAAAATGGAACCAGTTATGAATCCATTAGTCCATTTCAGGAAGATATTCTGTGTGATGTAAGTACTCCCCTGACATTTACAGATTTCCAGTGGATCCTTTTATTGAGCAAGTATCTTGCTGTTAAAAACTGTTATAAACATGATCGTTTATTTCCATAATTCTTACAGGAAGGAGGAAAAATGTGATTGCACCTGGAAACAGCTCAAGAATGAAAAGGGAATAAGGGTTAGGAGACTTGACACAGCAGAGTTATGACCCTATAAAGCTATGGGCTGCCAGGTAATGTTAAGTTCAAATCAACTCCATGTTCTCTCTTCTATTCTTCACACTAAAACCCTCAAGGCCTCTGTCCCTTTTCTAACTGTATGCCAGAAGGTGACCCATAAGTGACTTCTTCTCTTAAACAGCAAATACAGTGAGAGATGATCTGGATTCTATTTGGATTTCAAATGTAATAAAATAATCATTTTCTCTCATTAGTCAATCTACTATTTTTAAGCCTCTATGTCTTATCAGTATAGACTCCATTTTGAAACGTCAACTTTTATACACTTCCCAAATGTCTAATTATTACTTTATATGCTATAGAGCTACAGATTTAATTAAACAGAAATAAACAATTTGGTAATCACATCACTATTGAACTCAGTACTTGAATTAATCAGGGTTCTCCTGAGAAACAGGCCTAAGAGAACGTGTGTGTGTGTGTGCGTGCAGGTGTGTGTATACACAGTGTCACACATGTATATACATATATATAGAGAGAGAGATAGAGAGAGAGAGAGACTATAAGGAATTATTATGCAATTATGGAAACAAAGAATTCCAGACCCAGAAGAGCCAGTGGCATAATTCCAGTCCAAGTCTGGGAATCAGGAGAACCTATGGTATAATTTCTTATCTGAGTATTAAGGCAGGAGAGGATGAATGTTCTAGAGCAAAGACTGTCAGGCAAGGAAATAGTTCTTTCTTCCATAAACTTTTATTTTATTCAGGCCTTCAGCAGATTGGATGAGGCCCTACCATAATGGGAAGGGCCATTTTTTTTTTCACTCGATCTACTGATTCAAATGTTGATCTCTTCTAGCAACTCCCTCACACACACACACACACACACACACACACACACACACACACAGAATATTGTTTAACTAAATATCTGGGCCCCCTGCAGCCCAGTCAAGTTGACATATAAAATTAACCATCACAGTGCTGTTTTCGATAATTTCAAATAATTCATCTCTAACCTTATCAACTTTGAAATGGAATTATTGAAATACTCTTCCCAGTTTCTTCACCTGTAAAATGAGATGTGGGAATAAAAGATCTCTGAGTTCCTTTAAAACCCTACAATTTTCTATCAAGCTGCATAGTTGACTACTTTTAGTATAAGATAGTGTTTCATTACTTTTCACAACACACACACACATATATATAACTTTTCCAACTTATTTCTATATTTGCACTAACTTAAATGATTGTGTTGAGCTTTCTTTAACTATGAATTAATTGAATTTTCATTACTAAAACAATGACTAAATTGAGTATTCTTTTTCAAGCCACAAAGAACCTTCAGAGATTCTGACCTATCTGTACCCTCCACTGAGAATTGCTGGTGTTTCAAAGGTCCCCAAGTGCAAAGCTGTGATAAAACTTTCATTGTTCAGTGCAAAATGAAAAAATTCATACAGTATGAAGAGATTTTAATAATGAATAACTTGTGAAATACTTGGGAGATTGCAACTTTTTTTGTTTTATGTGGTGAAATATCTACTCTTTGATGACATGAAGTTGAGAATGAATACTGGTTTGCTTTATGTGTTCAATTTTGAAATAAAATTATTTGACAAAAAAGAATAGGTTACTTTATAAAAATCAATTCAATTATTATCATTACTTAAAGCTTTTATCTTCTGAGAAAATAAAAAGTTTTAAAATAACTGGGGGTTGGTTTTTTTTTTAACTTCTTTATCTCATTACCATCAAATTAGTGAGTTTGGCTTAAAGCTTTAGGTCAGGATCTTAATCTGTATGCCTTTATTATCAAGGTTCTGGGTTCTTTGGAATTATTGTTTATATATATGAACCACAGGCTTAGGAAGTCTGTTCAACCTTTCATAACAAGCTATTAATATAAAGATAATAATGTAGAAAAAATATAAAAATTCTGAATTCCTTCATTATTTTAAAATTTGGAGATTATTCGCTTTCTATTTTCCATATGAACATTTATTTTCTTTAATGAAATTATAAATAATAGTTGTTAGGAGTTCTTTCATTTCTTTACATAGCAAGGTAATTTTTATAAAAAGGTAAATTTATCTGCTCCATTATTTTTGCTATTCTTCTTCTTGAAAGCACTCAGTACAGTCCTGGGCAGAGAGAATGATGCTTACGACACATATTTTCCTTTCTGGACAGATTTATGTAGCCAGCTGTTAGGGTAATTTGTTTTTCCCCATTTTCCTTAGGAAAATAAGTATTTTTTATATCCTGACTAAAATAATAAGCTGACCTAAACTTCAGATTTTGGTGGGTAAGTAATATATTCCTTAAAAAGTAATAAATAAAAATAAAATTCTTGGAATATAGTGGTTTTGAGAAAACACCAGAATAATTCTCCTGTTTTGAAAAACATATACTTTATTATCGGGTTAGACATAGCTTAGAAGATATTTATCTTGTCCAGAGCAAAGCTCAGGAGAGAAGAAAGTATGGTGACTTTAAATAAAGGCAGTAAGTTGCAGCTCAATGAGACAGAAAAGAAATCCTGATGTAATGATTTGTTTTGCTTCCTGTCCCTATCAAAGACTAGGAAGTATGTTGGATGAAATCATGGCAAATCTGTCACTTATTCCTGGAACTGAATGGTGTGTTGTGTAGGTACCTGTTCTTGAATTGTGATTAATGTTTATACATCATTTTGAAGATAGAATGCACCTC